CGGGCCAGCAAAAACAGGCTTTCCAGAGACATGCATACGGCGGTGATGACATGCCTACTACTACAACCATGCAGGCTGGCATTTCCTTCGCTAAACAAGGCACAACAGAGCATGTAAGGTGGCATTCAAGCCTATACCGCATAACTAATGTTGATGGCTGAAGAGCATACGCTGTCAAGCAAGCAGAGGCAGAGCCTGACACACTGATTGCTCTCTAACAAGCGTTAGATCTGAGGCAGAGTCGAGCAAGCAACGGTTGTTCTTGTTGGTACAGTCACACCAGACGGCTACTGTGTAATGTTGCGTAGCGTTGGTAGCACACTACCAACATATGTAGTACATATTGTTGCTGGCTCCAGCAATCTGTAATGATCTAGCACATTTCATGAGCATTTCAGCATACCATTGGAGAAACTAGAAGCCTCACTTGATGTTTTCTGCCACGCTGTAACCGGCTGTGATAACAGTATCGTGCCAATATATCGTCCAGGGGCAGCCGGGCAGAGCCTTTCAACATGCCGTTGCCTACAAGAAGGTGTCGAATATGACTTGCCTTGACTATATTCACACACACGGCGAAGCAGCACACGAAGAGGTGAAAGCAAGCCGGCACAAGAGCAATTCATCCTTGCGCTGTATGGAGCAGACAAGTTGAAACGTTGGATTGAATAACTCGCAAACATTGCATACAAGGCCGTTGCAATAGGCCGCAGCTATTAGCTATTAGAGTTCTTCATTGTCAAAGCTCGGCAACACTTACGGCCCCATGCAGCAAGTCGGCGCAGCAAAGCACGCATTCATACCGTGACATATGCTAACTGTTCAAGAATGGCAAATGGGCAACAAGCGCGCTCTCTACTGAATGGTGGATGCGTGATCTCAAGATGGCAGTTAGCAGCCTTATTGGAATGGACATTCCTGTGCACCTGACGTTCTATCACAACATTGGTGTTCTTGTCGGATGGCAGAAAGGATGGATGCCAAGCCAACATGAATGGCAGCTGCAAGAAGCTTGCCTTATTCTGGTCCTCAATAATGCAGCAAATGCATCGCGCCAGCTCGCTGCCAACACTAGCAAGCACGCAGGCGGCTCGAAGCAGCCCATAGACAAGATCTCCAACCTGTGAACTGCCAAAATGCGGAACTGTTCCCGGCAGTGATCTTAACTAGTTGGCGTATTCAGATATTGATGGACAGGGGGGGCGGGCGCCGCAAATGTACCTTGCCGCCGCGCAGGCAGCCACTATCTCAACCCTAGAGCTGCAACCCTTGTCTATACGCTAGAGCAAACTAACGCGACACCGTTGCAGACAGGCCTGTCTGACTAGGCTGTTCCATCTTTCGCGTTAGACATGCCAGATACAAAATGCCTGAAAAAAAACAATGTTGGCGCCAAGCGCAACAATGCGAACAATCAGTTGCCAAATTTTGTACATGTGGCAACTGAAGAATGAGGAATATAACCTTGCCGCGCTGCAGAATGCGGACCAGGGTGCCTAGAATCGTAATGATTACGCATGAATGAGGATGCGTTGGAGACCTGCATAATGATGAACAGCTCTGCACTGATGATGGCAGAAGACTGCATGTGCAAATCAATGGTTAGGCTGTCAGGTCCTGCTTCATAGACACTTCGCGTTACCCCATCAAATGTCTTGGTGCGGTTCATAGCGAGACATAGGCATAGTCTAGCGTATTATAAATACATTAATATTTTGTTTTGGATATGCATAATTATCTAGATGGTTTTGTATAAAATGCTATGCGATATGTTTAGTTTGAAAGTTGGTCGTTCTGAAGGTAGGCATACTTTTAGTGAGAGAACCAGTTATGCTTTGTAGGGCCACTAGATGCTATACGTGCCTGTTTTTTGCGCTTGATATTACGCATTTGTGCTACTACTTGCTAGCTAGTGGGGTACTTTTTTTAAGCACTGTCAATTTTTGAAGACAGGTAAGCCATATTATGTGTTACGTAGTCATGCCTGCTCTCAGTATTTGAAGGTTGAATTATATTTGAATGTTTTGATAGATATTTTAAGCAGTTGAATGCTAGATTTTTAGCGTATATGGTCCCTAAATATACACCGATCGTTCATGGATGTACGTTTGAAGCACTTGTTATTGATTTTATATTGTTTAAGCTTGAGGAAAAATCCATCATCGGCGATGTTTGGCCAGTGGCTATGAGTGTAAGGGATCGCCTATCGCGGCTAGTCATGCTTGGCATTAGGGTACTTGCATCACTTGAAACCTCACAAAAAGTACCTAAGTAGATTATCGGCATTAAACACATATTAATTAGACATTTTAATTCATGTTTCGTAGCCTTGACTGAGCCAAGCAGTTATTGGAAAAACCCTAATATGCGGCCGGCAATTTTGACGCCATCTGTGGATTCCTGGAAAACGCACAAGGGGATTTCGGGGACTTTTTAGTAATGCTTATTCTAGCACATTTTTCTGACACCTATCCTGAAAAAAAATGTGCCGGGTTTTAAGCTTAAAAAAACTTGGAAGCTAATTGAGCATCTCAGATGCAACGTCGGCCAAAGTTTGCTGTTGCCATTTTGTGTTCTTATGCCTCGAATAATCGGTTAGCATGTCCACTAATTAGATGAGACGGCCATTTCTCTTATATAGGTTTTGTCAGAGAGATAATAATTTAACTTTGGCCTCAGTCCTTCTATGCAGACGATGACCGACAACGGCAAAAGAAGCGTTTTTCATGAGTTGTCTGAGCACCTGACAAAACTCGCTATTGAGCATGAGATGGGCCAGCTATT